ATGAAAATATTTTGATTTTTAATCAGAACCCAATTTTTCGTGTCGGTTGCCCTTTAAATAAGGTCCCCCCACACATACATGTCAGTGTGTTTACATTGTGCTGATATTTCAATATTACAGTCTGTCATACCTGGTAGGGATTATTAACTATTGACTTTAGGTATAATGTGTGGGTGGGTAAAAGGAAACTATTATGAATTAATTATGCCATTGAGCATGTACAATTGCTTCAAAATGGTTGAGTTTATTTTATGTAATGCCTATCCTATTTAAACGTCAAACTCGTCAAAATTTACTGCCTCCAAAATTACTCAAAATTCATTGATGATATACATGTAGGAAAATACCATATAACTGGTAATTTTCAAGGGATAACATTTTAGTGAACTGCTAAAAAATTTTCAGTGATGGGTGGGTTCTAAGGAATCAGTTAAGAGTCTAATAAGGAGAGCAATGATCATTGTGGTTAATGCATTTTATTCACAGGATACCAAAATATATTTTATAACTAGACGAATGTTAACCCAGCCATGCTATCATAAAGATGAGGTTATTTAACTTTAAAAATAGTTAGGCAATCGGCCGCAATCCTATACTGCCTGTACATACTGAATCACTTCATCAGTATAGGGTTTCACTTAATCAACAGTATAATTAACAGTAATAGAAGCTGTAAATTCCAGTGGGCTACACACCAATTATTTCAGATGAAAATATAACTTGAGACATAAACAGTAATAGGTAGCTATAAATTCCAGTCCATGTTCAACTCACGTACTCTACTCCTCTTAAAGGGGCTGCACTCCAATTATTTCATATTATGACATTATTTGGGAAATAGGTAGCTTTGAATTCCCATTCGAATTGTCAAGCTCACATACAGTCTAGTAAAATGTCAAAGATGTTCATCTTTGTGCTGTTGTTGCTGTGTTTAATAGTTACCATTGTTGAAGGAGAAGGATCTTATTGTATGGCTGATTGTACTGGATATAAACATGAACCATCACTGTATATAAGGACATGCTATAACAGCAGTAACTTAGGACAGACTATTTGTATGAGAGAAGGAAGAGTGAAGACTGTCATCGTATGTCCTAATGTAAGGCCACAGGCCTGTCCACCAGGTAAATAAACTAATAGCTAAAACATACATGTATTATACTGAGACTATGAAACTAGATAATAGAGACTGTAAGAGCTTAGTTGAGGATGGTAATACTACAAGTGGTGTTTATATGGACTCCATTTGAAGTTAGTTAAAAGTAATTTATAATTATACACTATTGGATCACAGGTATACTGTGATATGGAGACTGATATTGGCGGATGGACTGTATTTCAGAGGAGACAAGATGGATCTGTTGATTTCTATAGGAACTGGACTGACTATGAGAATGGATTTGGTGACCTTACTGGTGAATTTTGGTTAGGATTGAGCAAGATTCATCGTCTCACTAAAGAAGGATCAAACACACTAAGAGTGGACCTGGGAGACTTTGAGGGGAACACAGCTTATGCTAACTACTCTACATTTAATGTTAATGATGGTAGTACTGAATATATACTAACAGTAGGAGGATACTCTGGTACTGCTGGGGATTGTATGTACTATCACAATGAATATAGATTCACCACAAGAGATAATAATAATGATGGATGGCATCGTAATTGTGCTCAAGGCTTCACTGGTGCCTGGTGGTATAATAAATGCCTTAATTCAAATCTTAATGGTCAGTACTTCAATACTGCAACTTCTGATACTCAAGGAGTTACATGGTTATGCTGGAAAAATAATTATGCTACTCTCAAGTTCTCAGAGATGAAAACTAGTTGTAACAACTACATGTAAATACTGTCCCACACACATATAAGTGTGTTTACATTTCAATACATACGTACATGTACCTTGTAGTGACAATAATAATTATTTGAAATGATTAATTATTTAATTTCAATGATTTGTAATTATCATCGACACAAACATGTACAAATGATGCAGTCAAACAGTGTGATTATAATCGCCAGTTATAAAATTGTACAAACAAACATCTACCACTCCCAATAAAACACATAGATGTACATTGTACAATGCTCACCACAGCATAGTCAAACAATAAAACTACACAGTATCATTACAACAGTACCATTCCGCCAAGAAATACCGTATAGCGCTTTAATTTAGCAACGTGGCTAAAAATTATAATTGGCGGTTTTTAATTTGGCGATTCTTGTGTACACGAGCATTACTGAGCATGCGCATTAATGATTGGCGGTTTTAATATTGGGGATTTGGGGATTCAGCTTCCAAACTGCCAATTGCCAAAATAAAATCTTCTTAATTAAAGCGCTATATGGTATAATGTAATACAAACATGTATCCCTCCCAAATATTCAGTATTCAATGCCCACTATAGCATACTGTACCTGTGTGACAGTGGTTTCCTCCCTGGGTCAGTCAGTGGGTTACATGCTCCTACAAACTGTATCCTCTCTATTGTTACCTATGTGTGGTCAGAGGTACTGTAAAATCCACCGTGCTCGACAACCTGACATAAGAACGATATTACTCTCTGTGTACCTATAATTAGAAAAAAGAATTTATAAATGAAATATTAATAAAAGACAATGACATTTTTTTAGGTGTATTTGGATTCACACAAGCCCTCATATTTTTGTTATAACTTCATAATTTTATGGTAAAATCAATATTCCTTACCATATTTGTTAATTAGGTCTGGAAGGTTAATCTTGTCACAGAAAAGAACCAGCCTCTTTCTGAGTTGAGCAGGAGCCATCACAACTCCATTGGGAGTCCTCTTATACTCACAGTAATGATCAAACATCTTTAATAATAGCTCGGGGGTAGTGGCTGAGGAGAAATTAAGACCAACAACCTGGAGAAAAATAGAAAAGGGGAAAGATGAGTGTTAAACAGATAAAACAAAGAAGATAACAAAGACATTTTCACATAGCAATATGCAAGTATAAAATCTCATCCATTGTACATGTGCTATAGTGTATGTTCATAAATGACATACATGTATCAGTTACACTGTACATATACATTTTGTAATGTACATGTCAGACTTGGGTCAAATACAAATAGTATTTGTAATTAGTCGTATTTAAATACTTTTGAAAGTATTTGTATTTGTAATTTGAGTTTTTGTAACAGGAAGTATTTGTATTTGCAATTGAAATACAGCAGGGAAGTATTTCAAAATACAGCAAAATACTTTAAAATACTTCAATGTGAATGAAGATGCTGTTTGAGTGACAAAACTTTGAAACACTAACGTTCATAAAATGCAATACATGACTATAACTAAATATTATTGATTATACATGCATGCATAATGAAAAGAGGCTTTCAATTTACTTGATTGATTAATTCATAAAACTACATACCGTATACGTCCAAATTTTCGAGGGTTCAAAATTTCGTGTTTTCAATGAAGTTTGCTCAAAAGTTAATATTCGTGTGAGCTAATTTTCGTGTTCTGGCCATAGTCTACATACAATAGAATGGCATTAGAGGTGGTTTAAATTTCGTGGATTTAAGGTGAGCATGAAAATAACGAAATTTAATACACCTCGAAAATTAAGACGCGTACGGTAGTTAATAACTGTCTATACTTGAGAAGAAGGTATTTGTATTTGTAATTGAAATACATGTATGCAGTATTTGTAACTGCATTTAAATACAAAGCTGAAAACAGTATTTGTATTTGTATTTGTATTTTTGTTTTTGTACAGTATTTGTATTTGTATTTAAATACTTCCGCGTTGTATTTGGCCCAAGTCTGGTACATGTACATGTACCTGTAAATATACATGCATATACAGTACACATTCAAACTCACTTCAAAATCAGGTAGAGCATGAAGAGCAAAGAAGAGTGTCATGGTTTTACCAGAGCCAGGTGGACCACACAGTACCATCAACTAATGCTCCCCCAGCCATGTATAAAGGAGACTCTCGTGCCTCACTGTATCAAGAGTAGGGACCACGACATCAGGAGAACCTACTTCATGAGTCTCAACCTCAATCTTGGGTACTCTAAAGAGGGGCATTAAATAAAAAGTATAACATTAATAAAAAGCATGGCATTAAATAAAAAGCATGGCATTAAATAGAAAGCAGAGCATTAAATAGAAATATTAATCTGTTAAATTACCTGTTAGACCACAGTATCTATTCTCCTTGAATATTAACCTTGAAATCAATGATGGGGACAGTACCAGGTGGTAGAGGTATGGTAGTTGTCCCTCTTATAAAGTTGCCCATCTTTTCCCAACAGACCATCTTTCCATCTCTGGAGAAGCACCAGATCAAACAGAATATGAGGTAGCAAGGAACGTAGGCCTCGAGCTGATTGGAGAGCATGGGAAAGTCCGGGTGTGACTGGTTGTAGGAGATTATGTTTCGGATCATCTGGTGGAGCATTGAGAATAGAGAGTTGAGTGCCCTGAGGCGAGTGAAGTCCATCATGTGGTCTAGAGTTGCAGCCTGTTCAAGACAGTGAGGAATGATACCGTCCAAAGCAAAATGAGGACTTAATAGATCAGCAAAATCTCTCCGGACCTGGGCAAAGGAATAAAATTTTGTGAGTAAGTGGTTAAAGAAGTAGATGAATTATTGAAGTAGAAGATGGTGATTATTGCATACTGTATGTGTAAATGAATGTAAAAGTGTAATAATATATGCTCACAAAACTGATTCAAAATTGAATGGATAACAATAATAAAAGTCATAAAAATTAACAATAATACATGTGTACATGTACATGTAGTTGCTTACCTGCATATTATGCAGGAGAGATGGTCTTCTGGTTGAAGGTGCCCCCTCCTCTCAGTTCCTCGTCTCCCTCGTCAATAGGTATTGATTTCAGTTTCAATATGAAGTGATCAGAAACCATATCAAGTGTTAAGACGTCTTCACTAAACCAGACCATACCACAGCAACTCACAGTGGCTAGGGTACCAAACTTAAGGTCTTGTAATTCAAACATTATACAAACCTAGAGAGTATACAGAGATTTACTAATAATATACTAAACATAATAACACCATTATTAAAAAATTATGGGTGCTCGGACATTACATCATTTTTGGCGAAATTTAGACAATGTCTCTGTATTATTATAGTAAGGGGGTGTTGGCCAAATTTTTCCAAAAATGTCAAGTTGAGAATTCTCAATTTTTATAACATTTTCTGATGCACATACATGTTCTTATATTGTGTAGAAAGTTTGAGCTGATTCTGATGGAATTTGGATTTTTTATGAATTCTTTAAGTTGCTCCAAAATCAAGCCAAAGTCCCTGTATAGTACAGGGGCGTTGGCTAAAATTTGCTATAAATTTCAAGTATAGAATTTTCAATTTTTATTATGGTTTCTGATGCACATACATGCTCTTATTTTGTGTAGAAAGTTTCAGCAAATTCTAATTAAAATTAGATTTTCTATAATTTTTTAGAATCCTGTCTTAGTCATTTTTAACAAAAATATTAAAAGCTAGCATGAGCATGCCCAGTTTAAAACAAAAATGGTCAAATTTATATTGGTGATTTCTTCATGGAAATGTCAATCGGCAATATTAATTCCTCGCCAATAAATCATCTTGTACAGTAAAATTCTACATGTACAAGTACATGTATATAAAGTACAGAAGAACTCTCAAATAAAAATGTATGAAAATGTAGAAGCTATTGCTAAAATAAAGATGGGAAATAGAAGCACAGGCTTTTGCATGTACAAGGATTTATAGCACAATACAACAATGCTTAAATCCCATACACAATGTATGCAATTATACATGTACATGTACACTGCACATACCTCATCCTCTTGTTCATGAAGTTGCTTAGATAGATCAGTTTCCTCCAGTGTCTGTCCTTGAGCTGCCAGTTCTTGGTTCATTTGCTGGATCCTGTCCCTCTTGATATTACCAGCACTCACCAGTACACTCTTTAGGGCTCTCAGACCAAAGTCATGATGAGACTGATTGGATAACTCCTCATCACACAATCTATAAAGAGAGAGAAAACAAGAAGCTTAAACTTTAACGAGAAAATATACATGTACATGTACACATTTGCATGTTAAATTTGCATGATGTGACTATATGCATTATGTACATGTACATGTAGCTGTAAAGGCTAAAGTACATGTACTTTACATGCAAAAGAATGATTTTAATCCTCAGACAAATGCCTCGTTATTCATCAAATACCAAAACCGTTTTGACCGGTTTTACAACTTATGGCTCGTCATCTAATGCTCATAATAAGAACACTTCTAATTAAAGCCCATGCAACTCTAATTAAATCCCAACATTTGCTTACTTAAAGAAAGGTCCTATCTTGCTAGTGAGTGTCTCGGCAGTCCTGAAACCCTG